GGGCCGGCCGCGGGAGGGCGCCGCCCAGCGCCTCCCTCCGCCTGCCCTCCCCTCCGGGGCGGCGTGAGCCTTCAACGCGGCGCGCTCTGCCCGAGCAGGGGGGCTGTTTTCTTGGTGTTCATCCCCATCCGTCTGGCTTGAGTACGTCCGTGAGCAGGGACTGGGTTTATCTGGATGGGATGGGTTTTTTTTTGTTTTTTTTTTGTTTTTTACAGCGAGAAGAAGGAGAAAAACCCAAGCAGCAGTGATTATAGGTTAGGAAGAAGACGCCATCCTCGTGCCCTTTCATCTTTCCATCTGTTTTTTGCCCAGCCACACTTCACAGTGTTTGGCTGAAAAAGAAGGGTCGAAATGGCCTCGTTTGGCCCTCGCTCATGGAAGCGTGTGCGCAGTTGTACTGCCTTTGCCGCTTGCAGCCCGGCGGGGTGATTTCTAAGCCTGCGCCTGAGTCGGTGCCTTTCTTTGCGGAACACAAACATCAGATTTTTGTTAGCTTTCTGTGCACTAGTTTAAAGGACAGTGATTCTTTTGTAATGCTGTACGTTGGTATAAGCCTACTGATTATCGGAGAGAACTGCCTCTAAATAACAATCCGGTAAATTAGACAAAATCAGAGCAGACTGCCTGGAAAGTATTTCTTCTGTTTACAGTAGTGTAAGTGAAAAGAAAAGTGGACCTTTTGTACGTAAACAGGACCACAGTCCAGTTTAACCCTGAAAATACTTTGTACTTATTTCTCTGCTTTCTTAGACGTCATGTAGCCACATATTTCTGCATCCAGTTTTCACAGGTGTGAATGACTAGACAAGACTTAATACATTGGAGTAAAACTCCTGTAATATGCTTTTTAAAGGAGATCTTAAATCTCATTTTGTCTGAAACATGTTTTTCACTTAAGTAATCATTGGACATACGTTTCCCTCTTTTGTGGTCTCTCTACTGTTGGCAGCATTTTACCTGTTATTTTTTCTGATACGGTAAAGATGGTTTTTATCTCGTTGCTCATACAAAAACACAGGAAAGACAAAAACAGAACAAATGAGTAAAATGAGTAGTGTATCCAGCAAAGTCGATAAGCAGGGCTTGGTATCTGAAGCTCTTAATTTGGATGTTTATTTTAATTCCCCAGTTTCAAGTTGACAGTGTCCTCTTAAATACAAAACATTGATGCATATGGTAAATAAATTTGTTTTAAATAGTTTTTCCTGGACTTTCTGGTGTACCTGCTAAATATTATTTTAGTATTAAGGAACACCTTCCCTATATAAATGCAGGTGATCAAAAAAGTAGCACTGTCTTCCTAACCAATGTTAAATTTAAAGGGGAGAACAGCCATGTAACCTGCCTTTTGTATAGCATCGCTCTTGCTTCATTAGAGACCTAAAAATGCCATCAAGAACCAGGCTTTCAGTAGGCTTTTCTCATTGCAGTAAGGGTGCAAGTGCATCCATTTGAAGTGCAGAAGTCCACTCTAAATGCATCAAAACGTTCAGGAAACGGTTAAGAGAGTCTTTTGTAAATTCTTCTGTTAGAGTATTTGGCACCTATTGAGCCGAGGGGACTAGAGGGTTCAAAAAATGGAAAATAAAGATTTAATCTTTCTCCTTCAGAATTCCACTTCTCTTGTTCCTTAGTCAGATTTCAGCGGATTGTGAGATTTTAAGGCGAATCATGATGATAGTTCTGCTTAAAAACTTCTAGGTAGACAAAAGAGGCCTGCATAACAAAAGATGCTGTGCAGTAATTGAGATGATTTGAAACTGTCTGCCGTAGAACAATAAGATGGGAATTTCATCATTATTTTCCAGAAGTATTCTTTTTTCTAATGTAACTATTAGTTACCTTCTCCTCCTCTAGCCCATTTGACCCTCCTGAGCATCAGCAAAGGCCGCTTCATTCTTGCATGTTGCTAGTTTTGACTGCCACCAACCCCCAGCTGACAATCACTTAATGGCACACTGTGTCTGTTGGCAGATTAAAGCGTATGGAAGCCAACCCACCAGGGTCAGCTGTTGGCAGCAGAGAGCTTTGCAGTGACGCAGCTGGCTATACAAACGCAGAACTGTACTCCCTGGATGTATGTTGAGGGAGTTATGTGGGTGCCACATAAATCTCAGAGGAAATATTTAGTGGTAGAGGAAGACAGAGACTTGCAAATACATCTTCTCCCTCTTATCCCTTCTCCCAGCCTACACTGAGTAGAAGAGCATTGCACATAAGTGGAAGAAGCACTTGAGTATGTGCAGGCACATACGTGTGCATGTATGTGCATGCCAGCTCAGTACATCTTTATGAAGGTGGGAAGATAGTTGTTGCAAGCCTGTAATATTCAAAGCACAGAAGTACATTTAAACACCTGATATATTATCTGCTGTTTAACGGAGTCTTTACTGGTAGCATTTTTCTTTATTTTAAAATACATTTATATACACGGCTGTTATATAAACTGAGCTTTTGATAAACAGTGCTGCTGCATTTGAATGTGCTAGTATACCAACCTGGATGCTGATTCAGGATAAATATCAAAATGGCCCAGAATAACACTGGTTACCACAGTACAACTGCTTTTTTAGCATGTGTTATATGCAGGCCTTGACTCTGCCTGATAGTACTATGGTTTATTGCCTTCTATCGTAATCTTACCTCTTTGATTCAAACTGGAACATCTGTATTTTTCCTTCCACTGTTATAGAGCGGATGTGTTATGTCAGCGCAGCTACATCACATGGAGGACCCAGCATATCTTTAAGGGAATAATAATGACCCACCCTTGTTACCTCTTCTTCTTTATCTCCAAGGTAGAGTAGCTGTGTGAAGAGCTCAGTTTCCTTTCACTTACGTGGCTTCTGGTACCCGACAGGCAGGCCGAGCATCTCTGCACTCTGTTGCACTGTGGTGTAGACACATCTTTAGGCAAAAATTTGAGTGCTAACAAACAGGCTTATCAGGATTTGTTAGACAAATTTTCCCATGAGTTACTGCAGAAAAATTCTAGAGTTATTTTGCCAAAATGAGGCAGACACAGTGAAATAAGTAGGGCTTTGCTGTGGGGACGCTCAAACGCTGGCAAACCTATGCAGGGTGCTCAGAGCCGGATTGCCCACGCCGCGAAGATGGGCCCTCAGTGGAGGAAGTTCAAGCTCTGTCCGTTGTCTCTGTATCAGATTGCAGGGTATGAGCAGCATGAGGCACGTTCATTACGTTAGTAAGTACGGTGGCCTGTAATTATATAATACCGAAGCCGTGACTCAAGCGCAGAAAGCTCAGCGTCAGCAGTGTGGGCGACCTCGGTCTTAGCGCAGCACGGCGAGGAGGAGAGTGGGCAGCAGCAGGCGTTGGGGCAGCTGCCAGAGTGCCCCATTCCCTGCTGCGCCCCCGTTGTCGCACCCAGCTTATTCCAGTGTTGCTGGGGTGCCGCGGCTTTGCGCCCAAGCCCGAAGGGGAGGATAGAAAGAAGAGCCGAGTGGCTGCCGGGCGAGCCTGCCCTGCGTGGCAGAGCGGGGTGCTGTCCCCCCTAAGCGTGGCAGGGCCCTGCTTAGTTATCGTTTGATAACTAATAACTGTGCTCCAAATGTAGGTTTGAGTAATTCATAGTTTTTCTCTGTTAAACAAACAAGTAAGACTGCAAATGCACTTGGTGTGTGTCAGTTTTGCTGCCTTGTACATGACCTTCTTGAGGTTTTTCATGTCTGGGCTTTACTCTGGGGCACAGGTGCAGCCATCCTGCTGCCCAGAGCAGTGTTTTAATGCAGCCAGAAAAGCAGTTAAGATTGAAACTGCAATCATTCCTTACCGATAATGTGGGAAATAGAGATGCTATTGTTAAGGGAAAAAATCTCCAGTGTTCAGCAGTTGTAAAGCACTGACTCTGACGTTGAGTAGCTTGTTCCTCAGGGGCATAGCCAATGGTCACTGCTAAACTCCTGGCCCTTTTGGCTTAGTGTTACTAGTCTTACCAATTACTTGCCCACCATAAAAAAAAAAAAAAATTGTTGACAGAGGAGGACCAGCTTGCTTCTTCCAGTCCTTGTGCAGCTCGGTACGTATGAGCTGGGTGACAACTAACTTAGGGGAAATGTCAATGCAAACATCTGTATGTAGCACCGCTGGGTAAGAAACAACTGCATCCGCTGTTTTGCAGAGGTACAGCTGACTCCCGTAGCCACCATAGCTTAACCTGCTGCAAGAGGTCTGCGTTTACCTCAGTTCGTTCGTTATGAGCAATTGCTTTTGCTGAGA